ACTTCCCCCGGCGCATCGCCGAGCTGGTGCGCGGCTTGAACTTCTCCTCCATCCAGGTGAGCGGCCGCCGCCGCGGAGCGTTGCGCGCAGCCCGGCTGCCGGGCGGGGCGCGGAGGGGTGTTCGTGGCCCCGGATAGCGTTTAACATCGCTTGCCTACGCGCCTGAAGAGACGTGGAAAGGGGAGGGGGGGAACTGCTTAATTCTTGTATTATTTTTTTCGTGGCAGGTGACTTACTTTACCTCGCTGTCCAGACAGAAGGAGTTTGAAGGAAACACTAAGACAGTGATCCCGCTGTTTTCCGTAACATATTTTTTGACGATAACCTTTTCGATCGTCTCTTGCCTCAGGTAAAATTTCTTTTGAGCTATGGCTCTTTGAGTAACAACGTCCAAACTTCTTTACCTTGAATTTTCTTTAAATTAGTTCCTGTTCTTGTCAAGTGAAATCATTCATGAAGCAGCAGACTTCACATGAAATTTAATAATAGGCAAGATATAGTCTTTTGTTATTTCCCTTCTACTTGTGTGTATTCCCCATCTGCTTAAATAAGGCTGATGTTCAAATATTTGTTTGGTATTTGAACCCAAACAAGTGTTCTCTTCAGATGTGCACAACTTGAATACTGGTATCCATTAGTCTGTTGTTTGAAACCATCAATCCTGTATGTACTTTCACTTCCATTTCTTGTAATGGTAGCTTTTGCGTGTGTTAGAACTATTTAAATAACGGAAACAAATCTATACTCTTATCTTCTTAAGAGCTCTGAGGTGCTTTAGCTTTGACACTGAAAAATACTATGCCAAAGTAAACATTCTTTGTTATGAAAACAGGTCAGCACAGATATCAGGAACTATTTTACCCTGTGCAGAAAGGGGGCTTTAATACCAAAACTGGAATCTAGCCAGCTGGTACTGCAGCATTAGTCTCTGCAAGTGTTCTGGCTTTATTGAATAAAACTCACCGGGTCAGTTTGGCATATACAGTGGAGACATTCACAGAAAAAAAAAATAGAAAAATCAAACGGAAAAGTCAACATTTAGAGGGAAGGAAAGAATAAATGGTGTTATTTCTAAAGTTATTTTACTTCTTTGTCTGCTTCGCTTGTAGTTTCTGTTCTCATCATGCCCACCAAATGTTAATTCTTTTTAAAGATCAGTTATAAAGAAGAAGTAAGCAGGGGAGGGAGGAGGAAATGTACCATGTTAAGATCTGCTTGCATCTTTCTTCTACCACCTAGTCACTTAAGATATAGATGAATCAACACCAACTTCACAAATTGCAGTAAGCCTGGGTACAGCTTTAGACATTCTCCTTGCTAGTAGAATCTAAGCCTTACCCACTGCCTGCAAAGAGCTTGTTCTGCCCATTCTCTGTGCTGGTGGAAGGTGAATCATTGTACGTTTGAAAGCTGTACTACAGCGTTTACATGCTGTTTTTGAGAAACTAAGGTCTGCTTAAAGGGTGGGCTTATTGTCTTAGTGTTTCCGTGCAGCATTGTGCTTATTAGACTATACAGTTTTTGGCTACAAAGCCAGCTCACGGTCCAGTCGTTTCGGAACACAGACAGAACAAGGCTGGTTCCACCAGCACACATCCATACATACACCCCTTGGATTTTCTCTCTACGATGTTACTTGAGCTCTCAAGAGTTAGGCAGCTGTGCTATGCAGAGATTAGTGACTGATGGACGGTTTCAACCATTGTCAATTCCAGCCTCGCTAGCTTTTTAGGTATATGAAAATCATGTTTCATCCCCAAAAGATGCAACCAGAAGAGGATGTGGTTGCATCAGTGGAAGCTTGTAAGATTATCGTCTTGCCCTGGAAGTAAGAGGTTCTCTTACCATTCAGAAATAGTCAACAACCTGAAAAATGGCTGAATAAATTCATGCTGAATGCTTTCCCTGATGCTTTGGTGCTATCCTAACAAATACTGGGTATCATCAAGCTCTCTTCAGAAACAGGATAACTTCCACTTCTATGTGGAATCTTCACTTGTAATGCCAATCTGCTTAGTGAAATACTTGACATATAACTAAGGTATTCCTTAAAATATTTTCAGACTGAGCTGTATAAGAAATAATATCTGGCTTGCATGCTGTGGAGTGGTTTCTGCTGGTTTAGCTGTATTAAGCAGCTTCGGATTGATGCTGTACTGTGGAGTACCATTTGTCGTCACTGTAGCAAATGCACCATTTCTTATTCTAGGTAAGTAGCAAAAGTGAGTCAGACACAGATAAGAAGAAAAAAGCAGAGTTAACATGAGTGTGTTACTCTTTTATGATATGAGTATGGGATCATGCGACGTTCAGTCCTGCATGTGGGGAGGAGACAGGAGCACACGCGGCTTCCTCTGCCCTCCTGCAGACTGGGGAACCATTCAGCTTGGCACACACAGCCTGGGAAGCTGCAGTTCTGCTCTGGCAGAAGGGCTGCATTTCACAGAAAATAGTGCCCGCTGTAATTCCAGTGCTACGGCATGAAAGCTGTAAACGATCAGAAGATAATGTTAGCATTTCCAGCATTATTTTAGTGTCATTGTGAATTTAGTCATGCTGATAAATAATTGATTTTACTAATAGCGCTAATATTTTAGCAGTGATAGTTCAGTTGAGCTCTGCAGAGTTCTTTCACCACTTTCCTCTGTATCAGCCCTTGCTGTTTTCTAAAGCCATAACCATTTATTTATATAGTTAGCTCTGCATAATAGTTTGTCTACCCTAAAATACTTGTTAGTAGTGTTCCTATGGGACAACTTTCTGCAATTCAAGCAGATAGAGAGCTCTTCCCAAAACTATTTGTCCACCTCTTTTTGCAGTACAGTGAGAATCCCCCGTCTGTCTGCTTTTAATCAGTTTCAAGGCAGGCCAACATAGAACACCGCCGAACATGTGTCCAGCGTGCAAATTACACTACGTTAGCATTGCCTTAATCCAGTACGTGTATTGTGAGGTGAATATCTAAAGTAAATTACCGTAAGTCTTTGTATTCTATGTGAAGAATGTAGTCCCTGGTCAGATAAAGCTAGGCCTAGCTTGTATAGGTTAAGTAACGAGCAAGATTGTCTGTAATTTCAAACAGGAAATTCGTCTTGTTTTGGTAGATACGAAATTTCCTGTGCAAAATGACTATGTACTAAATTTCATTTTGATATAAAGTTGAAGAGATACACCATTTTCACAATCAGCTCTCCTCAAAAACGTGATGTAGTTACTTAAATATCATAACATCACAGTTGCACGAATGCAGAACTTTCTAAGTATCATTAGGTAACGTTGCTGCAAATGAAATAGTTCTTTTATAATCCTTACCTGCTCTCTTGTACTATAAATTCATATGATGCTGTCCTGGTCTTAATCTCATGCTGAGGAAAGTAAATGGAACTCTTAGGCTGATAGAAACTCTAGCTCATATTGGATATCTCATGCAAATGCTGTTTAGGGCACACTGTTAACCTGTACAATTCAAATGCATTTTGTATTTGCTTTTGAATTGCTCACTGAATGCAAAGACTCTATAACAAAGACCCTTCTATATACCTGAGAAAGGGCTTAAATCGATTTCTTTAGATCTTAATAGATAAAGTGCCAAACTTCCTCTTCCTTAGATTAAGGCACACGGATTACATTTATATTAGAAGAACTGCTTTGAAGCCTGCCTGCCTTCCAGAACTGTCTGGCTCTGCAGCATCTACTGCCTTTTGACTTTCCTCCTTATCTTGTTCCTGGTTTCAGTCACAAGCATTTAGAAGCATTTAGATCCTGGTTAAAAATCATGAGATTTCTTTAGAATGAAAGTTCTGTATATTTTTCTAGTTTGGGTTTGTGGGTTTACACAGTTTGTTTCTAGTCTGTTCAGGTTACGTTTTCAAGGCTTCCTTCACAGTTACAAGGTATAGGCATGGGCAGGGAGACTGGGTGCTGAGATTGCTACTTAATCGCTGTATCATGGCAGGTGCCTTTTTAAGAACACCATCTCACTGAAATCATAGAAGGTGGGGCCTGGAGGGAACCTCATGAGGTTGCACCCCCACGCTATGAGGCAGGATAACTTCTAACTAAGCCACTCTTCTCAAATGTTTTTAAGAACTTACTGGGAATTAAACAGGAATTTTTCCCCTACTTAATTAGCTGAAGGACTTTCAGCGTTTTGCTGATACCTAAGATACATTTCATATCTGTAATTAAGTTGATTGTTCCTTGTTCTTCCATATACGTATAAATTAATCTTTTTTTTTAACGATCCTTTATTCATTAGAGGACTGTTATCATGCTGCCCTTCAAAGTGCAAACATCGATATCAAAGAAATGATACAGCCTCAGCTATCTGCTCCACCTCTTTTCTGGTAATCTTGCCCATAGCAGGGAAAACAGAACTGTACTTACAGCAGCTCCTAATTTGCAGTATTTTTAAGGTCAGACAAAGTTTGCATTATGTAAATATACCTGCTGTACATGTCACACAGAATGCAATTTCTGGGGAAGGCTCAAGGAGGACAGCCAGAGATAAAAAGCACTTTCAGCTGCCTGCCATTAATCTGCCTGTATTCATGGACCAGCACCCATCCATGTCTTTCCTGCTAATGCATTCTTGCCGTCTTTTGCACATCACGCTGTTCACTTGTCTGTTTGTGGTCTAGCTCTCCACTTCCTCTCCTTCCCCCCTTCAACCATATGCATTTCTGCAGTACTGCGACTTAACCAGTTATTCTCTTCTATATTTGTACAGTTATTTTTTTCTTCAAGTGCAGTCCTTTTTTGCATTGTACATAATACTGCAATTCTGAAAGCAATGAAATTAGTATGTCTCCAGCTTATCAAACTCGCTGTGAATTGACCTCTCCCCCCCACACCTGCTCTCATTTGGAATTTAAGTATATTTTCTGTTTTGTTGATTAAAACATTGACTAGTACTTGTCCTGAATGCCTCTGACCAGCATGTCTTCCCAGTTTTTACAAATAACCAGTCTTTGAGCATATAGTGACCATTATTTTGGCATGCAGTATATACTGATTTCATCTATTCTTTTATGCTCAGCTATGTTATCTATGCCTGTTCCTAAATTCATGTGGTCTTGCATCCTCTTTTTGTATGATTAATTTTCAGAGGATGAAAGAGCTCTTGATACAGTAACATTGGCAAAATACTGAAAGATTTGTGATTAAAATCTTGAGAGTTAGAAGAGTGGGGAGAAACTAATTTGAGCCTTTCTGTTCCAGCTTCTACTCGTTCACTCTTGCTTCTTAGTAAAAGCTCTAGTCAAGAACCCAGCGTCTTCCTGGCAGGGCTTCCCAGGACATCACTGAGTAATATATGCTGGCACATCGATATAAATGTGAAGATAAATGAATATAGGAAAGTAATTTGAAAAATAAGAATCACAATGAAAGTAGGCGGTCAAGAAGTAGCATAAATATAAAAGTCTAGCCTGGTTGCAGAGGTCATGAATAAATGCCCTAAGATAAACTGGAGAGAAGATCAGTGGAAAGCAAAGAGCTTTCCACTGGGGGAATCACTGGAAAGCTGGGATAACTGTTCTCCAATATGATTGCAACTGTTCTCCCTGTCTGCTGAATACAGAGAGCAAGAAATTATTGGCCTAATTTGCAAAAATGATGAAGAAAAGACACCAGGGAGGGTAGGAGATACTTCTAACTGTAGGGATAGTTAATCATCAGAATAATCAATGTATTTTAATCTGTATATTTACATGACGATTGGAGAGCATACGCAAAACACTTGATAGACTAGATATGCTCAGTCTTATAGCACAGTAGGGGGAGGGATCAACAGTCCATCAGGTCACTCTGAGTTTCTGAAATGTAATAAATTCAGCTGCATACCAAGGGTCTGTTTTCCTATATCTATTTAACTTCCATCGGTACTAAAGCAATGCTAGTATCATGGCTTTCTTAAAATTCTTTGCTAGCTTAAATGCTATTTATTTTGTACTCTTGTTGGTAATTAGCAGAAGCTGCCATGTGCAGTACTGTGTTAACTTTTTTCTCTTCTTGCAGGAGTTGGTGTTGATGACATGTTCATCATGATCGCTTGCTGGGAGAAAAATGCAAGGGAAAGAAGCAAATCGGACACTAAAACTCGAATGGCTGAGACTTACGCAGAGGCAGCGGTTTCTGTTACAATTACTACTCTCACAGATGTTTTAGCCTTCTTCATTGGCACCTGGACTGCTTTTCCATCTGTGAGATCATTTTGCCTCTACACAGGCACTGCTTTTGTCTTCTGCTATATATATACCATGACCTTCTTTGGGGCGATTCTCGTACTAAATCATAAAAGGGAGAAAGGAAACAGACACTGGTTAACTTGCATGCCTGTGAAAACAGGTAAAGATAGAAAGTCCTGCTTGTACAACGCATGTTGTATAGGCAGCTGTTCTGGTGAGTCATCTGAGCCTGAAAGTGGACACGTAATGAACAAATTCTTTGAAAGCCATTATGGTCCTTTCTTTACAAATAAATGGGTCAAGCTACTTGTGGTGTTGCTGTATGGAGCATATCTGGCTGGTAGTATTTATGGATGCACTCAGATCAGGGAAGGCATAGATCTTCGAAATCTGGCTAGTGATGACTCTTACGTTATTCCATACTATGATGATGATAACAAATATTTCTCAGAATATGGACCCAGGGTCATGGCTGTGATTACTGAAAGTGTAGAATACTGGAATAAGTCTGTTCGAATGGCCATTGAGAATTGCATGCAGAGCTTGGAGGGCATTTCATATGTAGATAAGAACCTGACAGAGTCATGGCTGACTGTATACACAAAAATCGCTGAAGGTGCCTCAATGGATATAAATAGCAAGGATCGTTTCATTAATTATTTATTTATACTGTTCCAGAATTATCCAGATTTTGAGTCCGACATTAACAAGACTCATGATAAAATAGAAGCTTCACGTTTCTTCATCCAAACTGTGAATGTTACCTCAGCTGTTGATGAGAAAAATCTTTTAAACCAATTAAGAGACACAGCCAAGCAGTGCAATATTCCATTAATGGTGTACCACCCAGCATTTATCTACTACGATCAGTACCTGGTCATAGTGCAGAACACCATTCAGAACGTTCTCATTGCTGCTGGGGCGATGCTCGTTGTCTCTCTCTTGCTTATTCCCAACCCATTTTGTTGCTTGTGGGTAACTTTTGCTATAGCTTCTGTTATAGTTGGTGTTGCTGGGTTCATGACGTTTTGGAGTGTCAATCTAGATTCCATATCCATGATCAACCTTGTCATCTGTATAGGATTTTCAGTAGATTTTTCTGCTCATATTTCCTATGCCTTTGTTTCAAGTGAAAAGCCATCAGCGAATGAAAGGGCAGTAGAAGCTCTGCACCTGTTGGGCTACCCGGTATTACAAGGTGCGATTTCTACTATATTAGGAGTAGTTGTCTTGGCTGCAGCAAAAACCTACATCTTTAGAACGTTTTTTAAGATTATGTTTCTTGTTATTTTGTTTGGGGCTCTTCATGGTCTTGTTTTTATCCCAGTATTTTTAACCTTTTTTGGAAATTTTGGCAGATCACCCCACAGTAAATTATCTGGAGAAGTCCTCAAGCCGCAGACTAGGTTTAGGGAAGATAAAGACTGTCCATAACTAAGTTAATAGCTTAAATGTATATTTTACATTTGTGTAGACTAAAAAGCCGTAACCTTAAGAGAATATGAAAAATGTATTTATTCTTTTATTTTTCTCACAACAGAGCAGTACAGTCATAAGAAAAGCCATGCAGCAAGTAACAGAAGGAGAAATTAAAATACGCAGAGGATGGATTTGTAACCTTTTTTTTGGCATTTACTAATTTTTGTTTGGCTTTGTAATCTTCATGTTATAAAACTTTTTTTGTGAATTATTTACTGACTGAGTTGAAGCTAAAATGATTAGAAACGTTGAATATTGTACCAGCTCCATGTACTGTTACAGGTTTGTCAGGGAACGCACATATGAAGGAAGAGTAACTCCTGATTGTTTGCATCTCCTGGCTTTTTATCTTGATGATGGAAATCAGCCCCGCAGCGTGCCTAACAGCAACTTTCCCCACGAGTCACAAACCTTGGGGTTCTATTGCAACGTTATCAAGAGGGTGGGTCAGAACCGTCTCAGACGGCAACCGTTCATAAGCCTTCAGCAGACTTAGTCTACACAGGCTCCTCGGGCGCGAGGGTCCCTGAGGGAAGACAAACTTACCTATTTTGTATTAAAATCCTTCTTTTCTTGGTGCATGGTTTTCTTGCTAAGATTAAAAAAAACGTTATTAAAATAAGTTTGTGTTAGGTGCCGTTGGCTCCATTTTCTGAAGGGATAAACTATATGGGTGGAACTTGCATGGAACTCTTGAGTAACCACTGTGGTACATGTGTGCTGTGGCCTGACAGGGCAAGGATGCACTAGAAAGATGCCACCTCAAGCCCTCATTGATGAAAAAGGAACTGAGGTTTAAGATGGTCAATTCTAAAACCAGACACCCATAAATGCAATTGTGTTACTCTGTGACAACCCTTTCCTGTTATGCACCACCTGCAGAAGGCCAAGAGCTTTCACCGGAAATAAGACTTGATAATAAATGACATGTTATTTTTAACCTGTAGGGACAAGACACTGAATTCAAAGACAGCACATAATTTTTCATTAATTTAATGAGCTACTTGCTAGAGCTCAAATGAACAGCGGTAGCTAATGTTTGTAATTTTGGAAAAGGAGGGGCTAGGGACTGTATATCATTCAGTCTCATCTGCAGCTGTGGATTGCTGCTTCCGTCTGTATTTTCGACCCATTGCATGAGATCTGTGTACCCAGCAGACAGGGCAAAATACTGCTTCTTCTGTTACAATTTCTCTGTAAGCACAATGGCTTTGAAGTCAAGTCACTCAAAAATTACCAATATCGTGCCTTGAAATCAAGTCACTCAAAAATTATCAATAAACTGTCAATACAAGTTGGAAATATGAATTCTCACAGCAATAAATCATAGGCTACAGGCATTAAAAATTATTTTCAGTTCAGAGTGACTAAGACAGCTAGCTAAATGACAAAGCTCAGGACAGATAAGTGACAGCCAAGGAGAAATTGTGCAACCAGTTACTGAAGATTAGCTTAATCTGGAATGCCATGAAAACATTTATCAACGAATGGTGTTCAGAATACTGGCACCTTTTTCGGACATAAGCTATACTAACTAAGAAATTAAAATGGGAAATTAAAACAAACAGACTCCAAACCTTGTCTCATAATATTTCGATTCTGTGTGTTCCTGCTCTTAACTTGAAAAAAGAAAGTGCTAGAGACCACAGAGCGTTTTCCTGAAACTTTGCTATTGTTACTGTTTAATGTTAGTTGCTCAGATACTACAGTGACAGATGAAAATAGAAGATCTTCAGCGAGGTGCTCTCAAGAGTAACAAATATCTTGGTCATTAAGACACTTCATACATCCCTTTGTCAATGCAAAATGAAATCAAACTGGAAGCTCGTTCTTTTTGGAGGAGTACTTGAATACTGTGCATGAAAACAGAAGTACACTTTAGGTATGAAAAGAAGTATCATCATCTTTTATTCCAGTGTTCTCTTGAATTATTTGCATCTTCTCTGCATTGTGTGCCACTCTGGCACTAGGGCAACAGGCTTTTTTGCTTTGTGGGGACCTGATTAAAAGAAAAAAATCAAACCATGAGAGCCTAAGAATTCTTATATTAAACTTTTCACAAAATATATCCTAAATTTTCCTGTCACCTTCTATCTGACAGGAACGTTACGTTGCCTTCTCGTTCCAGTTTCTCTGTGGAACTTTCCTAGTTGGAAAGAGATTTGACTCAAATTTGGGGCTATTGTTTCACCACTAACACAGCTGAATATGGTACTGTAAAAGTAGATCTGTAGTAATGGAAAAACGCTAAAAAAAAACCCCACACACAGCTCTTGTAGAGCAGGAGCTGATGCGCATAGCTACTGCAGTAAGTTTTGTTCATTGAAAGGGGTGCAGTTTTTGAAATAGCAGTCAGAAAAACCAATAATCAGTAGCATAATCTTGAAAGAAACCTCCTCCTACAGAGGAAGTCAAAATCCACAGCTCTGCAGCCCTATGGTACAACTCTGACCCTCAGTATTACACTCGGAAGCATCCAATTTCCAGGACAGAGCACTAACCACAAGGCTGAAAATATTTTAAAAAAAAAAAGGGGGGGGGGGGGAAGAGCACAGAAAAAGCAGTTCCCATTTCTGCTGCTAAGTGTTTCAGTGTCCATGTTAGTGCTATTGGCAAAGGTTAGTAATATCGGCAAATGATGTGGTGTGGCCATTTCTGCAGTGATACAGCTGCTGGAGGATATGCTCATGTATGAAAGGTTTCTGAGCAGATCCAGAGGGAAGAGCTTGCTTGCTCTATTCCCATAGCCAATTTACTCTACTACTACTAAGAAAAAAAAAAAAAAAAACTCCTGCCTTGCCTCTCCCCTGCACCTCCCTCACACTACAGCTAACATTCAAGGATCCAGACTTGGAAAGCTACTGTGAAATTTCAGCAGTCTGCAGTCATCACACAGTTGCTAAGAAGCACCCAGAAGGAGCAGGCCACATCTCTCAGAAGTTTGCATTTTCTTGTATTAAGTTAATAAATTAAGTTAATGGTAGATACCTATGGCATAAGTCATGTTTGAAAACACTGAAATTCAGAATCACGCAAAGGTTGAAATTCTTATTTTATGTGCTGCAATGCTCGTGATAAGTTCAGGGAGATTTAAAAAGCAAACAGTCCATCTCTGCTGGACTCAACAACACCTAGCTCTGCTCTGGCTTCTACAGAGGCCAAGTATTGGGGCATTTGCACCATTTGGAGGTCTGTATGGGGCATAACTGGCAGAGTTGGGGTAGCAGGGGTGAACGGTGTGGGAGAAAGCCATTAACTGCCTTGGGCTGGTCACAGCAGGTTCCAGCTGCCTCTGAAACGAATGGTAACAGCCCACCACATGCCAGAATTTCAACTGCCCAGAGCCGTGCATTGTACCTCTGCCCAAATGTATTTAAGAAAGGCTGGTAGCCACGAAGGGCAAGAGACAGGACAAGACATGTGAGGATGCACCTGAGGACATAAAAGGAAGATAGATGAGACGAGACACAATAGCTGAAGGGGAAAGGGACCTCCAGAGATCATCTAGTCCAACCCCTCTGCTCATGCAGGGTCACCTAGAGCACGTTGCCCAGGATTGCGTCCAGACAGCTTTTGAGCATCTCCAGAGAAGAAGAGTCCACAGCCTCTCTGGGCAACCTGTGCCAACGCTCTGTCACCCTCACAGTGAAGAAGTTTTTCCTCATGTTCAGAGGGAGCTGCCTGTGTTTCAGTTTGTGCACGTTGCCTCCTGTCCTATCGCTAAGCACCACCGAGAAGAGTCTGGCCACATCCTCTTGCAGCTCTCCCTTCAGCTACTTCTATACATTGATCAGTCTGGAGAAGACTTTTTTTAGTTGTCAGAGGGCTCAGCACTGTGTGTAAAGGTGCATCATAACACTGTTGAAGAAGGCTGGAAGCTGGTGACCTCTCGTAGAAGGAGAAAGGCTCTTGCTCCTCCTCAAGAGTTGCCTGTGAAGAACAAGTTTAGCGCCCTCCAAGCTGAGGAGAGGCTGGGCATGGCTCCGAGGGAGGCAACTGGCCTGGCAGACCCTGTGCCGTGCAGGAACCCCCGGAAGAAGCGGCGAGTGATTGTTGTGGGTGACTCCCTGCTGCAGGGGACAGAGGCACCTATCTGCCGACCTGACCTCTTGTCCAGAGAGGTTTGCTGCCTGCCAGGGGCTCGAATAAGAGATGTCGTGGAAAGACTGCCAAGGCTTGTCAATGCATCAGACTAGTACCCTCTGCTGATCTTCCATGTGGGTGCTAA